TTCCTGCTGCCCTTTTTTCGCGACGATATTGCGCCATCAAATTTTTCCGGAAAATCTCGCTTGCGATATTCGCACAATTTCGTTCACCTTGTCGCGTATGTTTCGTTTATTGTCGTCATTTTATGCAAGCGACGTGATTATATATGATGCGTCCAACTTCGAGATAGCTCGTTATGTTGATGAAAAGCACCATCGTCATCTCAGCAAAGTAGGCTAAGTGTCAGAGCCGAGGAAATCTGTTATACTTGGCGCTATTTTTCAAAGGTTTTCATTTGAGACGCTGAACATACGCATTAAAATTGCGTAACATAACGCGCGCGTGTTTACATAAAATTATTAAAATATTAACGCTATTAATGCTTTTCTAGCATTTAAAAACATTTAGCTTGTGTATATGTGCATATATGTGTTTTGGTAATTATCGGCTTCAATCCCTGCTTGATTGTAGTAGTCGTTCGTAAAACTGCTGATTTATCTTTCGTATACCCTCCGCAATGCTAGCTATCCGTACATTAGCCACCTAATCTCCAATCGCTCGCCCCGAAAGGCCGTGCGGCGAATTTCAGCGAGCGGTAAAGCATCGCTGATCAATAAAAGAAGCCGTTGTGCAGGTTAATCTTGCGACTAGCTTTGTGATTGATTCGAACATATTTCCAGCTTACGCGCAGAGCATGATCGATCTCTTTTTCGAAATCCCATTGTACAGCCGCAATTTGATCTCGTTAGAGCTTTTTACACGAGGAAATTATCACAAGCTCGTAGGATAGTTACAAAAGCCGTAATCAGTCAAAATAGATTACTCCCATTAAATTAAATTTTTTATATGTTAGCGATTATCTTTCGACAAATTTTTAAAATGGAATTGAACCTTTCAACCTTAATATCGCCGGATACGATATTTATCTTTGTAGCACAAAGCAATGCGCAGTCAGTGAATCGAAACAATTTCCCTTGTTCTTATAAACACCGCTTTTTCTTTTCGAATACCCGACTATGTTCGATAGGGCGGATTTGAATCGTGCAATATGTCGCATAATTCGGCCATTCCTCATACCACGTTTGCGAATTCGGGGGGGAACAAACTTCGACATGTGTAGGCACGCGTGTATCGCTTGTAGTTTCATAAGTACGCGGAATACACAACTCCCCTATATTACGCGAAAGCGAAGTCACGAAACGAAAATCGATTCAGAAGGTATCAGGATCTTATTGTTTGACGAGAGAAGACGCTTTTCCGAGATTGATAAATGCTCCCGTAAAATCGCCATATACGTCATGTATTCGAGAAAATGGTTAGGAAATTTTGTAATATTTATTTTCTCCGTACGACTACATGACGTTGTCCGCTCCGTAGATTTCTTTTCAGAGCAGAAAGGAAGGACGTGGCAGCGGAATTTTTTGCTGTTAAATCACAAAGGCAACAAGAGTCGCAAACTCTTTTCAGGAAATTAAGCCTTTTTTCGCCCTGCCATTCCGCAGCATTCTTCGGAAGCTGTTGGTGCTCGACCCGCTTTTTCGCCCTGGCAATTTCGCGCCTTGCAAAGAAGATACTTTTGTATTCACGAGTATGATAATGTCCCTCCACGAACCTTCTTCGCACCTGCAGCCGGTCGCGTGTGTTTGCGTGTTACACGAGCTTGTAATGGGGAAGACATTCGTGAATACGAGAAATACAATGTCCTGGATTCGAAAACCAGCATCGGCAGGTAAACCAGTCCCAGCACCGCGAAAATCTCGGAATAATTTTACATATTTCAGCACAGCTTGTCGAAGCGGTGACAAAGAAGCTTACCTGTTATCTACGCCGAGAGAAGAGCATCGGGATATATGCAAAATATTTTTATCGTAAGCGTTATTCCGATAAGATTTATGTATGTATGTTTGACTTGACATCAGTCCGCTTATCTATTCGCTTTACATCCCGATAGCGTGGGAAGCGTTATCTACATGTTTGCGCGCTCGAACTACATCTGTGTTCTTGTTAAGTGTATCAGTCTGATACATCGGTTACATCTTATATGGAGTCAAGATGTTTTGGTAATGACACGTTTTCAACAAGGTTTATTATTAACGATACTTTTATTTTTCTAGTTTGTTAGCAAAAATTGAAATTATGCAATAATAAAATTATAATATCAAAATGTCCAAAAAATTGGAGAATTACACTATTGACAATGGCAGAAAAGTCTTAGAAAAGTCTGTGCAAGATTAATTTATTTGAAATCAATAAACTGTAATTTAAAAAATACTGGCTTTTGATATTTTTTGGTAAAAATTTGATAAAATCAATAGATAAGGGATGACGTATGCAAAGACATAAACAAACTTGGCGCCACATTTCAAAAGCCGGGGGTAAAGCTTCGCCAGCAGAGAGCTCCGGCGTCGGGGGCGCGAAGTCGGGGATGCAATCGATTGCGATATATCGCAAGCATCCCCGGCGCCGAAGGGTGGCAGGCGCGGCGCGTGCGTCCCTCTGGGCTCGCACGGATTGGCCCGCGATGATGTCATGC